GGACTGATCATCTAAACCAGAGATTTAGAGCCCAGATTTTTTTTTCCTTTTACCATCTCATAGACAAACAGTATCCCAATTCTCACCTGCAGCTGCTTTTAATCTAAAGGATATTTAGGTGGTTCTCCCCCACCTCCTTTTTTTTAATTGAAACAGATGCGAATAATTTTATTTCTTCTCCAATAGCAATGAATTTTAAGCTGTACCTTTCCATAGAAGCTACCATCGATAACACAGCATTTGACCACAGCACCATCAGTGTAGGACCCAGGGTAACCTTCAGTGAAGCCCAGGCAAGCAAGAGCAGGCAGCACTGCACAAAATCTTCACCGCAGGCAAGTGCGAACACACAGCTAACAGGCAATTAAAACCAGAAAGCAGCAAATCTATTAGCTATGTGCAACAACAGTGCAAAAAGTTGGCCTTGAAGCAGGTCAATTGAGATAACAAGGCAGGACAGTAAAGCAGTGGTTAACAGAGACAAGAGTAAATGTACAGTCATTTCACGGACACTTACAAGTCCTGGTTCCAGCTGAACCACAAAGTTTTTTTGACTCCTAGCCATACAGCTGCCCTAGAGCCACAGGGGAGATTATTGCAGAGAGCAATTCAGAACAGCTCCGCCAGAGGCTTTGCTCTGAGACACCCTTCTCCGAGGAGTACTCACCTCCTCATGGACTGCAGGCAAAGCGGTCCGACCAAGCTGAAGTTACCCTTCCGGTTACTCTCTGAAAGCTCTTGGCTCTGCCTGACCCATCTGAGCGCTTCCACCAGACACACCAGCTGCTCGCTAGGTTATGCTGGCCAGCCTACTCACGTGAGGTCAGCGCTGCCAGGCTGGGCCCGCAGGACGTCATCCACGACGAGGGCAGCTGCAGGTACATGAGGAGTCCCAGGATCTGCACTTCTAAGTTAATGGTGACCTAGCAAGGCAAGCCCAGCTCTGTTACAGAAACACATGCCAACTGCTATCCCTCTCCTGTTCCCACAGCTTTCCAAGGGGGAAGGGGAAAGGAATAGTCAGATGTGATCAGTCTTCCCTGTTATTTTCACCCATTTAGGGTTTATGCTCTATAAGTAGGCACCTGTGCAATGATGTCTGAGACGTTCATCATCCACAGGAATGAGGTTTTACCTGCATGGACATAAAAAGCAGAAGTATTTAGCAAGAGAATATCAGAAGACATTATGGATGAAGTATTCCATACAGACTTCAAAGACGCTTTCTTGTGGTTGAATCAATGTTTCAGGAAACAGTCATCTAAATGTAAAAGAGAGGTTAACAACCTGAGTGTTGCTGAAGGACAGAGGACTGCCAGGGAAATTCTCAGAACTGGCTTCCAATGGTGTGCCCAGAAACTTCATTAACACCTACCACCCGGGCATCCAAAGCGAAAAAGTCATGCTTATTTTGCTCATAACAAAATATGTATGTATAATTTGCAAGAAAATTGGTTGTGTGAGTTGCAAGCAAGATGGTTAGAGATCAGACTAAGATCATGTCATGGAACGACAATGCACTTCGCATGTGTGAAAGAAATACTAATAGGTTATATTGATATGGACAATACTTTCATGAGATTCTAAGGCAAGGTCACTTACTACTTACTGCATGAGGTTCAAGATCCACACAGAATAGTCAAGGACACTCTCCTGTTGAGTCACGAGGTTCAGATTGGACCCCCTTGCCTTCCAAACTCCTTCTGAGAGGAGTCTGGATGCAGCTGGATCCAATCCTAGTCCCAGACCTGGTCAACAGTTTATTGACTAAGGGAATTTGTGCACAGTTACGTCAGTAAAGTTTACAAGTTCAAAAAGAGAGCATGCTATAGTCACCACAGATCTGTTAGGATCTGGCAAGGATCTCTTAACCCAAAGGGGTATCCTTGAGAGGCGTCCCTGCTCAAGGGGAGATCCTGGTGTGCAGCCCGCTGCGATGCAAGGAGAGCTCAATGGGCTCTTGGGCTGTCCCCGTATTTATGGGATAAGATGATTGACTTATTCTTTCTTTTCAGAAAGACTGTTGTCTGGTGTATGCACAATTAGCCTTATATCCCCATCAGGATGCAGCCATCAGGACTGTTCTTGATGGTTACTGTCTGAGTGGGGGAGGAAATCAAGGAAGCAACCACCAGGATTACTGGTGGTTAACACCTCCTTAGGGCTACATGTGAAAACTCAGGTTGAGCCGGGGAAGGAGCACATCCATCACATCCAGTGATCTGTGGATCACTGCAAGGGAAATGCTCAAAGGGCAGTATGAGGGGCATTGCAGTAACAGCATAACCTTCTCCTAGCAATTAGGGAGACGGCCTACGTAAATATACGCTGCTTTCTGCTAAGTGCAGTAAGCCCTAGGATGGCAGGAGCACCACAGCACTGGTTACCAACGAGAAGACTACTCCAGGCTTTGATTGCACAGAGCATCAACGGGTTCTCCTGTACAAAATGCATTATGTAAGAGCACTGTGACAGAAAGCAAGATAGTACAGCTTTTATCCCACAAAAAGCCTCCCTGTACCAGCATATAAGCAGCTGAGTTACCTCTTAACACCATCATAACTTCTCATTTAAAGTTATCTCCCCATTAAATATTGTAAATATGTTCATTTTTCTGCTGCCAACCATTTACCTTGTTGGGCACTTCTGCCCATCTCAGCTGTGGCCATCAGCAGGTTTCAAGGATGCAAAGGTGGGATGGTGAGGTGCCTCTGTTTCTCCTCCAGGTCCAAGCCTTCCTCTTCCTTACCCCCAACCTTTGCCCCTGCTACAGCTGTCAGGTACTACAAACAAACCCATTTCTCTGAGTTTGGCAGCTCCTGGTTGGTCAAAGTCACATGAAATACACTGTGAGCTTAACTGTAACTTTGTGTATGCTAGGAACATACCAAAATGAAGCCAATGACTTTAGCCTCAGTGCCCACGAGATAAGGACGTGCTAACCCTGTTTTACAAAAGATGAGAGATGTCTCAAAAAGTCACAAGCTGCAAAAACTACTCCCTGGTTTCCAAGTTCCAGTTTAAAAGCCATAACAAAATACCCTTTGCCCTTGTTTAAAAAGAAACGCTGGGATCTCCAAAGATCTTCCCAGCCAGCCAACCCATCTAGCTCAGTACGTTCTGGAAAGTTGGCAGAGGAATGGAAAAGACCCTATGAATACTTCAGTTCTTTGCATCATGACTCGTTAGGACAAGCCATTTAATGCAAATCTGTTTTCAACAGACAGACCAAAAATCCAAAGGTAAATTCTTCAGCCCAAATCCTGCCACTTCAACACTATAAAAGTCCATCTCCAGAACACGGCCCCTGGATTTCCAAAAGGTGCTGTGGTGAATGCAGGTTTGGGTGGGTTGTTGGTTTTGACCAGCACTTTATGCTTCAAGGCAAGGGCAGAAGGAGAAACTGAATTGTTTCCTGTAAGCAGCTAATGGTGCAGCCTGGACAGCTCTTGGATTTGTCCTCCAAATTAAGAGAAGAAATTGTGAATAAAGCCTACGTGCATCTCCTCTTCACACCAGGGAAAGGCAAATCCAAGTGGCTGCCAAACCAGAGCTGGGCTCCTATGAAAGGGCCCCCCTCAGCCTCTGGCCTGATCTTCCTTCATCTCTCACCAAAGCTGATCAGAGGCTTGTGGTCATGAATGAGGAGCACAGACAGCAGCAGCATCACTGCTCTAGCAGCAGTGGCTCCTAAAGAGAAGGAAATTTCCATTTTTAAGGTGCAGGAAATTTTTTTTTAAGTTGCTCAGGAAACCCTAAACTTATCATCACCTGCCTAAGCCCTGGTAATGTCCTTGCCAATTAGCACCTTCAGACTTGAGCAACAGAAGGACAGAAGGCAAAAAAATAACAAAATCACAGTGCTGCTTGGCATAAATCTATTTTGTTTCAATGCACTATTTAACAGGCTCCATTTAAAAGAGAAAAGTGGCATTCTGAAGCTGAGTTTAAGGTACAGACCTCCAACAGCCACCAGCTGTGTTCACACTGTGGTTCTGCAGCACATCTACAGCAGGCAATGCCACGAACCAACCCATGCATTTCTGCACTTGCTCCTCTTAAGCCAGTTGTTATCATTATTGCTCCAGAAAAGGCAACTCGGGAGCTCACTAAGGACAATCGCACCAGATCCTGGACACTTCCTCCTGGAAAAGCCCACACACAGCAGCCTCTTATCACAAAACGCAGACTGAAAGCAAAGCAGGAACAAGACGCTGCTAGGATCAGACACGGGTTTTACTTTTTAAGGAATAACAAGCTGACTGGAGGTAACATTGACAAACGACGTGCCTCCTTTCCCGTAAAAATCACAAAAACGCTATTTAGTTCCTGAATAAAAGAAATAATAAATAAAAAAACCCCACTCTTATTAAACTCAGGTTCATTCAAAAACCACTCTTATTGAACTCAGGTTCATTCAAAAACATTCAGTCAAATCTGAGTTTATGCATGCACAGCTTTAAGTTTGCTTTTCCATCTTCTCTTCACATTCAATGTTTTCTTTCTCCCTTCCTATCCCCTCGTCATTTCTACCTTCAGTAACTCAGTCCCAAAGGAACGGAGCGAAGGCACCGCTCCTTTCGGTCTTCCAGCAGTCAATACTCTGGACAAGGGCAAATCAACAGTGCAGAATTAGTAGGAGGAAAGAAAATAATTTAAAAAAAAAAAGTTAAATTTCTCCATCTAAGATTTGTTCGGGATCTTTCAAAGGACATCCTGTATTTTGAAAGAAGATTGGGCAATTTACTTACTAAGAAGCCTGAAAATATACACAAACATCTGCAATTAGAGTAAGAAGCATTTAAAAAATATATAAAAAATATATCCCTTTCCAGTGTCACTGTGGTGCTACCTAGTAGAGCAAACTACTGCTGCACAGCTACTCAGTCACAAGAGCAGACATCATTTGTAAATTTCATATTTATTATAACAAAAATTATGACATGTTCATTTGTGCATTCTGCTTTAATATAACTCTTGGTATGTAAATGTTCTACAGCAAATGAGCTCTATACAATCATGCTGGTTGTGGCAGCAATAAGGAACACAAAACGTGTCTGTAAAAGTAAGGAAAAGAAAGAGACCAGAGTTTTTTTTTTTTTTTTTAAATGGTCTATTTCATCTAATTTCTAGCTACCTTGTACAGTCGCTCAGTCCGTTATGTCCGATGACCATGGCCCAAACAGTCGCTTAAGAAAAAAGTTGTTCAGGTTGTGTCCTTAATGCCAAGGCTACAAAACAAGTAAGCATCACTATACAACACTGAGCTATTTACAATAATTTCCCAATCAAATGTTCTCTCAGAGAAAATTAGTGAATCTCAGTGACTTAAGTCACCTGAAAGAGTAAAGCAACTCCTAGGAGTTAGTCTCCATATTCTACAAACGTCTATCATTTTCAAGACCAAAAAAGCCTTTTCTCTCAAAGAAATACAGTATTACAATATTACTTAAATCATTTAGCACTGGCTACTGCCCTGCTTTTCAAACAAACAAAACAAACGAGCCATTTTAAAAAATATTACATCATCATCTGTTTCTCAGCAATATATTAAACCTTTTCATTATTTTCTTTTTTTAAACACTCGATATGTTAAGGGAAAGTTAACTATTTTAAACCTTACTGGTAAAGCATCTCTAGAAGAAAGTCAGTGAATATTAAACCTAACAAACTGAGAAGCTGCAGTCATCTGTAGTGGCGGGACAGGGGAAGGGAAGTGTCTCGAGGAAGAGGAGAACCCTGCTGTGTGTGGCCCCGCTGGGGCCCGCTCCCAAGCCTCCTGGTTCGGGCGTTTGCTTCCGAGCAGAGAGTAGAGAGGGTCATAGTGGAGTATCGTAATAGTCTGCCAGGTGCTCCACCTGGTACTGCCGCTGCTGCTGCTGCTGCTCCTGGTGCTGCTTCATTATCTCCTTGACCTCTTCTTCCAGCTCCGGAGGGATGATGAACTGGTCATCTGGATCTGGCTGCGCCGGAGCAGCGAAGTAGCCCCCTGTTTTTCGAAGCGGCGCATCCGTCGCGACCTCGATGAGGTTATGGCTCCTCTCGTGCGGCGCCACAGAGCCG